ACTCTTTCCACACCTGTGACACTGTGGTACAGAACAGAGACAGTGTGTGTGGAATCCAAAGACCAGAGCTAGAATTAATTGTAGGAACTAAACTTCCTCCAGACCTGCAGAAATCTTGGTAAGACCTTTGCCACCCATGGAACGGTGTGTGGTGGGGCATAGGGGATCATGCTAATCTTATCTTGATGTCAGGAGGCTGGACATCGCCAGTCAACTGCTGAGTTACACCGGTGACCAGCCTCTTGCTGTTACAAGGGGTTACCCTCAATACCAAGTGCCCCAAGTAATTACCAACTATCTTTGTACTTTGCTGCCTTTAAAACACAGATTCAAATTCTTCTTCTCCAAGAGAACTTCTCACCTTGTTTTCTTTTGGATCACTACCCCACCTTGGGAGCCAGCCAAATTACTGTCAATACCTTGTACAAAAATTGCTCTTGGTGGGGAGGCAAGGTGGTCTATATCGTCTAGGTAACTTCAGGCTGCACTTCAGCGAATAACGAAGGAGGCTAATTTCTGCTTTGGCCCCTTCCCACCTCCTCTTTCATTCCCATCCTCCTATTAGGGGAATAACACCTTCTCCATTCTCTAGAAGGACTGATCAATGCCTAGCACAGTACCAGGCACAGAGTGGGTAGGCAAGGTGGTCTATATCGTCTAGGTAACTTCAGGCTGCACTTCAGCGAATAACGAAGGAGGCTAATTTCTGCTTTGGCCCCTTCCCACCTCCTCTTTCATTCCCATCCTCCTATTAGGGGAATAACACCTTCTCCATTCTCTAGAAGGACTGATCAATGCCTAGCACAGTACCAGGCACATAGTGGGTAATTCTGATTAATTAAATTTAATTAAATTATAAAATCACAGATCAGCACAAATGATTACATGAGGCAGTTAAGGAAATGCTATAGAAATATTTTATTATTATTATTACTGTCATTACTTTCATCATTATAAGAGAAATAAATTACTTTGGCAGCAGAGAAACTTGTATTTATTTACCTCTGGACCATCTTTGCCTACTCGTAGCCAAATTGCTACTGCCAGGATTGAGGCACCACATAGCTGCAGAAAAAAGAAAAAATGTTAGAGTACGCCCAAGATAAACTATAACTCTAATTCCACACACCTCTAGCCATCTGGTAACAATGGTTTATCATTAATTCTACCATTACAACCTAAAAGACATAAATGAGGCATATTTATGTGTAGCTAATTGCTAAAATGTTCTGTTGTAATTGGAAAGTTTGATAAAAATAATCTGTTTTCCATCCACTACAGGAGAGGGGAAAGATGGTTTTCCATGTTTCAACTCTTAACTGCGTTTCTGCTAGATTTTAACACATAAAAGATAAGTAATAACAGTTTAAAGACAAAATATCCTGATTGGGCCTCTGGGTTTGTCTTTGAGAAGCTGTCTTAGACCATAAAGGAAGGGAATAACTGATTAATCACCAAACGTTCCTTCAAGATTCAAGAAGTTGGGATGTAGAGGGAACAGCAGAACATTTTACAACATTTGCAGTTAAGCAACAAGGGTTTACGACACTTTTTGTACCCAAATAAGCTCTTTTAAAAATAAGCTCTTTTAGGTAGTAAGGCTTACCTAGAGAAGAGGAACACTGAGGAACAGTATTTAAAGTCTTAAATTCCTTTAATGACTTTACCAGATTATTTAATTTGGACCAAGACCAACACATAAAATGTGAAACACATTTTACTTTAATGTAAGAAAAAAACCTTGTCTTTCAGCTTTGTTTTTGTTTTGTTTTGTTTTTTAAGGTATAGATGTTGTGGCCTCAAAAAAATAAAAAAATCAAAGATCTATTATTAGATAGAGATGTTGAGAACAAGCTTGGTAACATACCAGACACAGCAGTAGACTTTGGAGGAGTTTCTAGACTATTCTGGCCTTAGGATTCTCTGACAGAGAAAAGCCTGAGTCCTCCAAACCTCATGACTTTGTAGTATCACTGCTTTCATGCATGGTTGGGCCACATGCCCAAAACCCCCAAACAGCAGTTTCACTTAACGGCTTCTCATTACGTTTGCTTTGGGAGTAGCGTCGGGGCTTTTGTGAAAGGAATAGGGAGTGCAAACAGCAGCTGAACCTATGCTCCCTAAAAGATCTCAAAATTCATCTAGGTTCAAGCCCTTCATTTCAGATTAAAGAAACTGGAATCCCAAGAGATAACAACGGTCACATGGTGAAAATCCAGCAGCACTCCTAATCTAGCCCCACCCTTACTACATGCTTCAACTCCTGCAAAACAACAAATGCAATGGAAAATCAAAGCTTTTTACCAAAGAGCTCTTTGTCAAATCACCAAATCACCTATACAACTTAATTATCTTATAGGTGTGCACATGCACACACTATAAACTGCAAATCTTTGAATAAACAGCTTTAGAGCCTGAAAACTCTCCTTATTTCTTTTCCTCTTTTCCACTAAATCCTAATTTCATTTGCAGATGGAGATAAATGCTCATTTTAGTGGTTCTTTGTTAATAAATAAACCTGCAAGAATCTATATCAAATGATAATGAGACCCTATGTGATTTTCAATAATTTTATAACAGTTGGATTTTTTGTTTTTCCAATTTGTTCGCTGATATTTTTCTTTCTCTTTTTTCTCCTTTCATAGGTAGATTTACATTGTTTGTCTTAATAGTCACTCTGGCTTTCAGCTTTAAATGAAAATAACATTATCTGAATAGCTATTATGATTATCATCTTAATCTGATGTTTTTATAAAACTATCAATGAGAATATTTTAAGAAATGTATCATAATTTGCTAATTAAATTAATTAAAAGTAATTGGTTTTCTATCAAGAACAATCAGTGTAGAGCCATGATTGATACTAACCTGTTTTATCCCAATTGTTATAAGATTGATCATCATAATTGTTCTCTGAGTCCTTTCTCCAGTTTGGCTTTAAGGGTTTGCCCCTGATCTTTTTATAATGTTTTAAATAATTTGGAGTATGAATTAAGAAATAAGCATCTAGGTATGTCCTTCTTTCTGTTGATAAGGTTGTAAAAGGAAATTGGCTGATATGTTAGGCCCCCAGGTTAGCCATCAGTGGACACTGCAGAACTTACTAGGCCTACTCCCCACTACCCCTTTCTGGTTTCTCTTTGAAGAAAGTCACTGTTGTTGCCACTCAGCTCTCATGGGACATCCTTCTTTTTATGAAATTAGGATGCAGTTGGTCTGAGCCAGCATTCTAAGAAATTACGTAATTGATGTTTGCTTATGAATATGCTATGGACTGAATTATGTGCCCCTAAATTCATATGCTGAAACCCTAATCCCCAATGTGGCTGTATTTTGAGATAAGTACCCAAAGTGGAGGCCAGACTCAGGGTGAGCATCTCCCTCCAGCCCCACAGATTCCTTGCCCCACGAGGCCAGAGGAGGATAAGAGTAGGACTAAAATACTATCACACCGGATTCCAATATTTTAAATTAAAAATCAATACGATTATTGGAATTGGGAAAACAGCATTAATTGAATTATTATTGTGTGTCAGTCCTTGGTCACAGGCTTTCATAAAGTATCTTAGTTAATCTTCATCATTGATCCTGCTGCATAAAATTACCATCCTCGTTTAACAAGTGCAGAGACTGAGGCAAAGAAAAATCAAGGAACATGTTCCAGGCCACAAAGAAATGTAGATTCAGGATTTGAATCTCAGTCTGCCTGTTTCTTCAAAATCAACTTTCCATTCTTCTAATTTATTTATTTATTTATTTATTTATTATTTATTTATTTTTGCGCTACGCGGTCCTCTCACTTTTGTGGCCTCTCCGGTTGCGGAGCACAGGCTCCGGACACACAGGCTCAGCGGCCACGGCTCACGGGCCCAGCCGCTCTGCGGCATGTGGGATCTTCCCGGACCGGGGCACGAACCCGTGTCCCCTGCATCGGCAGGCGGACTCTCAACCACTGCGCCACCAGGGAAGCCCTCTTCTAATTTATGATAGAAGAATTTCTGTCTTATCATAATTCTTGCCATTTTATTTCTTCCTCTGTTTCAAAATCCAAATTGGAATTTATTCATCACTGCAGAGTGGTTTCATACTCCTGACTCATAAAAAAGCCTGTACAATGATGGCTGAAATGTCTGCTTCTTAAACATTTATTTAGCATTATTCTGAGTTCTTTATATGTATTAACCCATCTAAACTTCACAACAACCCATGAAGTAGATATTACTACTATCCCGATTTTACAGATAAGGAACTATAAAGCACAGAGAGGTTAACCAATTTCCCCAGGGCCACACAGCTGGTGGTGAAGGAGCTGAGGTTCAGTTCTTAGCCTCTGGGCTCCAGTGTCTTTGTCACTGTTTAAGTCCCAAGCTGACCGCATAGTGGCAGGCAACCACTGTATTTACAGAGTTCACACATTTCAGCCATAGTCAAGTCTATCTTGGGGGATTTCATCAATCAGAATGAAATATAATTGCACCCTATTTTTCAGTTATCCCGTCTCATAGTTATGTCTGCTCTGCTTCAACTCTCTTCATTGCGCTCGGCACAACCAACCTAGTGTCCCAGGTACCATATAAAATACAACAATGACATTGAAATGCTGGTTCCTGAACTCTCTCAATTCCTGACTTCCTTCTGCTCTCTTCAAAACTCTTCATGGTTGGCTTCCTTCAGTTGCTAACACCTTTGGCTTTACAGCTTGTCTCCTTCTCACCTTCCCCCATTTGAGTTTGGTAATGTTACGTCACTCTGCTTTCCTTCATAAAGAGCCAGCCTTTCCACAGCTCTCTGCCTCTGGCAGTGGTTCCACTGAATCTGTGGGCTAAAGGCCCTGTGTTCCATGCTTACCCAGACCCCTAAAACGCTCCAAGCATCCACAACACTCCCATGCCTGACTTATCTAAGAGGAGCATAAGAAAATGTGGGCAGTTTATCTGTTTTGACACAAGACTCAGAGAAATAGGTTTTGCACCTATGATTTACCTACTATCTACCGCACCTCTAATTCACTCTAATTTGCATCAAACTCTAGCATGAGTGATTAGGAATGATTTTTACTTTCTCACGTTTTTCTTCAATTACTAATTCTAACAAATAGAAATCACTGTGTATTTATGCGGCATATCTCAAGTTCTCTCACAAAAGAGAGAACAGCTCTAATTCTAACAAATAGAAATCACTGTGTATTTATGCGGCATATCTCAAGTTCTCTCACAAAAGAAACTGGTATGTTCAGCTTAAATGACCATATGCATATTTTAGAGATATTCCAACATCTGGCCCTACTTTGCAAAGGCTTAGTTTCTCTAATGTTACACCAGAAAGAATTCATTTGAAAACATAAGGCCATGGATGTCTACAAGAAAACCACATCAGTGGGACCGTAAAATATTTGCTTAAGTAAACATTAGAAATGTGACAAATTGCTAATTTCCTATGAAGGATTATAAAATTCCAGCTGAGAACTCTGGGCTGGAAGTAGAGGGGAGAGTAGAAATAGGAATGGTTCCCTAACCTCACAGACTCCTGCTCTAACTTTTGAATGAAAATATTGATGTCACCTGTTGGCTGAGACGTTATCATTGGTCTTTACAACTGTTGCTCTTACTCAAGATGTCATATAAAGATTATAGGTCCCATCACTATGCTGATGGGAAGAACAAGGCCTTTTAAGGGAAGTCAGAAATATCGAACTGAAATCCGTAGTATCAGAAAGACCTTCATTATCAGAAAAACAGAGATAACGGTAACCATAAAATAATCAGAGCTCTCCAGGAAAGCAGTAACAATGTCTGGGTACAGTATTGTACAGATGTCTACAACTCACCTTGTACTCTTATATCAAATTTATAATCCTGAACCTATAACATACCCCTTTCCTAGACTGCCTTTTTCATTTCAGTTTAAAATTCAGCTCTGCTTCAAATTCCTATTAGCTACTGAATAGCTATTCATTAGCTATTTAATGAAATACTGACCTCTGATGTATTTAAAACAGCCATCAACACTTTGTATGCTGTTTTTATACAACAGGGATATATTTTGACTATTTCATAATTTGAGGA